ACATCCAGCCTATAAGTATCTCTTCTTTACAAGTATTTTTGGACATTCTTTACTGCTGAATTTTCCAAATCTTCTGATTTCATAGAGTAAAATGAAAAAAATGAAAGAAAAATACAAAGACCAGGATGAAGAAGATCGTGAACTTATTATGAAATTGCTGGGGGTAAGTAACATCTAAAGACTTTATTTTTGCTTTTCAGTGGGCATCCAAGCCCTTGCCTAGTTTATGACAAATGGTCAAGGAATTTTTGTTAAAATCTTTACATTGTTGATAATACTGATATTAACTGACTTTTTTTCCTCTATGAATTAAAGTCTGCAGGTTCAAACAAAGAAGAAAAAGGAAAGAAAGGAAAGAAAGGGAAAACAAAGGATGAACCTATGAAGAAGCAACCCCAGAAACCCAGAGGTGGACAAAGGGTTTCAGACAGCATTAAAAAAGAAACTCCACCCCTTGAGGTTGTAACTCATGAGTTACAGGACTTAGCTGTAGATGAGCTACATGATGACAAGGTAAAACTGCCACCCACTTGGGCCCTCACTTCTTGCTTAGTGTTCCTAGGACGTCAGCTTGTAGTGCTGAAACCAGATGAGTGCCAACCCTCATCTAAGAAATGCAACCTGAAAGACTATAAGATTACATTCGCTAAGCATAAAAATAATAATGTTCACAGCTGATGAAACATTTATTACAAGCTTTTAGAAAATAATCAGTCTTAAAATTGGACAAAGAATTGGACTTGTCTTAAAGATGAGTGGAAAATTTTCACTTCTCTAAGCTTTTTTATAGGATTATATGCTGCATTGTTTTACATAATGTTGAAAGTGGCTGCACAGTTCAAGGGCCATGTCCTTAATTACAAAAGCAATGAGAAATTAACATTTTTCTGACTAAAACATTTACCTAAATTGTTTTATCAGCAAAATCCAAGAAGCTCAGTATCATTTCACATTATCCTCTTAAATTCTAGGCATTTTAAAAGTAAATTTGTACAAAATTCAGGCTGAGTTAATTTTTTACTTTCATGATCAACATCATTTTAAAGCTTGAGTTATAATTTTGTGCTCAGTTTAAGTGTTTTTTTCTCCCTATTAAACTGTGTTTTGTTCAGTAATTTTCTTTTTTTTTTTGGCAGCACTGGGATTTTAACACAGGGGTTCACACTTGCCAGGTAGTGCTGTTACTGTTTGAATCCCTTTACCAGGCCTTGTTTGGTAATTTTAACACTCATTTTAGCTCTCAAATTTTTATGCTATTACTATATTTTATAATTCTGTAAACCCTATAATAAAAAATATTTATGAGAGGAATTACTAATCTTTCATGGGTGGGTACTATGATCTGAATGTTGGTACCCACCCCCAAAATATTCCTATATTGAAACCTAAATACCCAGTGTATATTAAGAGGTGTGGCCCTTAGGAAAAGGATTAGTGTCTTTATTTAAAAAAAAAGAAAAAGAAAAAAAGAAAAAGAGGTTCAAGGGAGCATCCCTCTACAGTATGAGAGCACAGCAAAAAGGTGCTGTTTTTTAGGCACTGTGCTCACCAGACACTCAATCTGCTGGTGTCCTGTTCATAGACATCTCTGACTACAGAACTATGAAAAGTAATTTTTATTGTTTATAAATTATCCATTCAGTGGCAATTTGTTACAGCAGCCTGAACAGATTGAGACAATAGGTTATCTCCAAGTACGTTTTCTTATGTAGTACACAAGATCAACAGTATCTTAGTATTTGAAAAGTTTATCCTAAAACTGTTGAGCAGAGATTTTAAAAATAAGAAATTCTACTGAGCACAGTGAATAGGAATGATCCTATAATCCTAGTTGCTGGGGAGGTGGAAACTAAAGGAATCTCCGTTCTACACCAGCCTGGGCAAAAAGCTTGCAAGACCCCATTTCAACCAATAAAAATCTGGGCATGGTGGTCTTTGCCTGTCATCCTAACTACATGTGAACCATAAATAGGGGAGTCAAGTCCACGTCAGAAAGAAAAACCCTGTTTGAAAAATTTATAAGGCAAAAAGGGTTGGAGGCATGGCTCAAGTGGTAGTGTGCCTACCTAGCAAGCACAAGGCCCCTAGTTCAAACCCCAGTACTGCCAAAAAAAAAAAAAGTAAAATTTCTGTTCACTATAATTGTCTTTATTCTTTTCTTCTTTAAGTTGTCCCCTACAACTTTCATTGCTTTAGCATATACTTTATGTGGAAGTGGTTCCCTATTTCAGATAACTATTCCCTTTTCTCTTAGAGAGCTTGTTTGGAGTTTCTAGCTGGGAGTGCAGCTTCTTGTATACCCTTGACCGAAGAACGGTCCTCCTCTATTGGGGAAGGTCATCCTCTTCCATCAAGCACACAGCTTCAGGAGAACATGGAGCAAGCAGTGTGGGAGGATGGGGACACCCACCTAGCCAGCCAGATCAGCCAAATCAACCCTAGCGGTCAGTGGAGTAACAGATGTCGCAGCCAGATCACCCTCACATCCCCTTTTTCTTGTAACATTAAACATACACACAGTAATCTACTTCAGAGTCTTAAGACACTGAAGAATATAACCTTGGGGCCCCTATCCTGTGGGTTAGATGTGATAGTCTTATTAATACCCCTGTTTCTCCTTGTGGCTTAATAGAACTTCATAGCTGACTTTTTAATTTTTATGTTTGGAACAGGAAGAGCAAGATACCGATCAACAGGGAAATGAGGTATGATTTTGTGTTTGGTTTCCTACTACAACACTTACTGTAATCCTTTCTCAGAATATTAGACACACCTACTTACTAAAACTTAAAAAGCTTTAAGACTGCTGCCTTGTCTGGAGTCACACTTTGTGGTTTTGAATTCCCAACTCTGCTAGAAACTTAGAAGCACTCTTTGTGCCTCATTATCCTCATCTTTATGGGGATAACAACTGTCCCTACCAGGAGAGTTGTTTTGACAATATATGTAAAGTATTTAGAAAAGTTTATGGTACAGAAATTCAAATGTTACAGTTCAACACTAAGCATTCTGTCCTAAATTTATGTTTATAAATAAATAAATTTATGTTGATAAATAAATAGGGATAATCTTGTAGGCAGCCAACCAAATGAGAACTCTTAGAAGCCTTGGGATTTCTCCTTAAGAACAGTAAGTTCTTAAGAGTTTAGCAACTTTGGCACTGTTAACACTTAGGGATGGTAATTCTTTGCTATCAGGGTCTGTCTCATGTATGGTTGTAAGATGGTTAACAGTATCATTGGCCTCTATCAACTAGATAACTACAGTACCCCCTATCCTTCCTGTTTCCCCTACTCCTATTGTGAATACCAAAACTGTCTCGAGGCATTGCCTGATATCCTCTGTCTCTGTGTGTGTCTTGCGGGGGGAGGGGGCGGTTTGCAAAATCCTTGGTCCAAAAAAAAAAAATCACTGGTCTAGCCATGTATGTATCCCATTTCCAAGCAACAGACTTAAATCTATTAATATAATTATTATTGTGCATCATTTTTAACCCTGTTTTTTGCAACTTGAGTATTATCCAACAAGTTTTTTCTCAAATGATATATAAAGTGGTACTTTGAAAAATCATTGTTCTCATAAATAATAAATATTTGGACATTACTTTTCAGTTCTTTGGAACTGTAAAACTGAGTTTATCACTGCTCAGACTATGTCTATCAGAAAAAGAAAAAATATGTTCAGATATTAATTTAAAAGTTTGGGTTTTCTGTTTGTTTTTGTGGTGCATCTGATTGGACTGAGAACCTCACACCATGCTAGGTCTGTACATCTAAGTGCTATACAGCTTCATCCCCAACCTCAGAATTATTCTTTTGTAAGGTTGCTATAAATTATTACTTTTACATTGTTTTTGTTTTCCTTTTTTAGGAAAATCTGTTTGATTCTTTGACAGGCCAGCCACATCCTGAAGATGTACTTCTGTTTGCCATTCCAATATGTGCCCCTTATACCACCATGACAAACTATAAGTAAGTCACCATTAGTTTACTCAAAATAGTTGACATGATGACTTATTGTTTTGTAATATATTTAGTAACTCATACAATTTCTTTTTAAAGATATAAAGTGAAACTTACTCCTGGAGTTCAGAAAAAGGGAAAAGGTATTTTTTTTTTTTCAGTTATTGTTTTAAACAGTTCAGTGACTGAACCAGAAATAGATTCTTTTATTTTCTGTTTACAGCTGCAAAAACAGCCTTGAATAGTTTCATGCATTCCAAAGAAGCAACAGCAAGAGAGAAAGACTTATTCCGTAGTGTAAAGGTAAAATTTACTTTCAGAACTCTGTGGACACTGAGAGTACAATTAAAAAATTAGCTGTTATTTCCTATTAATTTAATAGAAAAATGTTATCTTATTAGAAGCAGTAAAATAAGTTGTAAAATCATTTCAGCTAAAAATTTTAGAAATGCCTTTCTTTTGTCAGCAGAGGATATGTAATTATTAAAAGAAACATAATTTGCTTATATAGGATATGAAGTTATTCAGCAATTTTCTTTTTTTAGGACACAGATTTATCAAGAAATATTCCTGGCAAAGTGAAAGTGTCTGCACCCAATCTTCTGAATGTAAAAAGGAAATAGTTGAAATCGTAAAATATTTGAGAAGAGTCAATTTTATAGCCTTTTGGAAGTTCAAGGATGAAAACACCATGTTAACAGGACTTCCACATTTAAAACATTGCCTTGCTATATTTGCCAAAAGGACTTAATTCTTGTTTTTTTCCAGTTTTATATAGAGGAAACTGTCTGTAATAGGATTTCCTAAAATATTTGTGAAAAGTTAAATGCTAATGATGTACATCTGTAGTTATTCTACATTTTCTTGATATTTGGGAGGGTTATACTAAATACTCATTTCATGACGTAAAGAAATTGAAGTGGCTCAACTGCTTAAACTACTGACTTGGTGGTCTACTATATATATCATATATGTAGCTATTACTCACAGACCAATCACAAGGGTTTTTTGTTGCTGTGGGAATGGGGCAGTTAAACATTAGAACTGTTATGTTGAAAACTTTGTCAAAAATATATATTAGACCTGATGTAGAAAATATTAATAATTCCCATGACTCATCTTAAGAAAGAAATAACCTAGAAGAAACTGGTGTTGACCATTTCCATGCATTTATACATCTTCACTTTTCATCTTAATTTCTTCCTTGTACCATTCTCTTTTACACCTGTAGTAGTTATCAATAGCATGTTACAGAGTATCTTAACTTATATCAGAAGTGCACTTTAGGCTTACTACTAAAGTCCCCTGACTCAGATTTCTTCTTCTGTCTCCTATCAGAATGGAGAATAAAGTCATACATTATTTCCATCCCTTTATGAGCCATAAAACTGTTACTTTGAACAGCCCCTACCTATGGTCAACATCATCACTTGCCCCATACCAAAGCATTATGGTCAAAGTACTAAATAGTTATTGGTCCCTCTACAGTTCTTAGTCCTATTGAGAAGAGTTTGCCATTTGAAATTAGTATTTTAAAAAACCTTTATTATGTTGTATTTATGATACTAGGCTGCATAATTGTAGACTAGTCCTATTTAAAGAAAAAACTAAAATTTTAATGTTTTGTAGAAAAACTTTACCAATTTGATAGTGGTAAAACTACATACTGTGTTTCTATAGATCTATATCCTGAAGTTACCAAACAAATGTAATAACCATTCTTGGGATAAGAAGCCAAAGCATTAATTTTCTGCTTTAATAGAGGACAGTTACTGGTGTTAAATACATTTATTGTAAACTTTAGACACAAAAATAGGTTCTCTAGGCCATTCACATGCACATTATAACCAAAAAGCTGCAAACTACGACAATGCATATAGTTATACAAATGATGCCACTCTGTGACGATTCCAGGATTGTTGTCCATGCACGTTGATCAGTTGATCAGTGTTACCTATTATGAAGCCTTAAGATCCAGAAGTGTTGTTACTACCAAACCTCTGATTAACACTGTGTAGTAAGTGTTTTGGAAGGCAGTTCCATGAGTTGGCTAACATTTCTTTAAAGCAAATGACTGCTTCTAAGCTTAGCCTGAAAGTGGACAAGGAAAAATAATTTCATTTTATTGTTTAGAAGTACATTAACTTAAACAAAAACTAAAAACCTCTGTATTTAAAGATTTTTATAGGAATTGGTTGTATCAGTGAAAACTTGTTGCCTTTAAGAAATCCATAAACCTGTTTTTACTTAGTTTTATTTTTTTTTAAGAGCACTAATTTGAAGTGTTAAGTGCTAAGTAAAAAGTTACATACCGTACAAGAGATTTTGGCTGAACTGAAAATATAAGTATTTCATTGCTGTGTGCCTAAAATATAGAGATGAAGAAAACATTAAAATGCAAATGCTTCACAAAATAAGTTTTAGTAGCAATATAAAGTGGTATACTTACTGCTCTGTGATGGACCAGTAGGTTGTTTGCACACCCACCAAAAACAATTACTTCTCCTTCATCACTGGCACAAGCTGTATGCCATAATCTGAATTTAAAACAAAAACTTGAGTTTGAAGTCACCCAAAAGACCAAATTTATCATTTTACAGTACAAAGTAGAGATGTAAAAGAAAGACTAGAGATTTTAAAGTAGTTCAAAGAGAAAATCTGAAGGAAGCATTATAATTAAAAAGCAGAAGCTAGAAAAAAATCAATGTTTATTATCTGGATATTTTTCTCTCTCTCTCTAGTTTGAACTGAGTGATCTGTTTTCTAGGTCTATGCCCTCTCCTCCTTCCTCTTTTCATAGGCAAGGTAAGTTGGCCTTACACAGAACATCTGAGGGTTGCCAAAAACCTTACCTTAGTAAACTATCAAAGGCTCCTGTCAAAGGCTCCAAGTCTGATAACTCTATGAAAAGGTCATTTAGGCCAAGTGAAGTCTTAGTGGCATGGCTGTACTTGGAGAGGCTTTGAATGTCAATGCTGAGTGTATCATTGCCTGTAGAAATTTTTTCATTAACGGAAATAACTTATCAGTGTTAACAGGCTCTTTCTTAAAGGTAATTTGACCCTTTAATCTTTGTTGTACAGTGCTACTGCAAATCTAATCATGTTCTTGATTTTGTTCCCCCCCCTGTATATTCTTTAAGATTTCAAAACTGCCCTTTAAAGCTCCCCCCCCTTTTGGGGGAGGGGAGGCACGTTTCTGTTTTTAATTGACAATCTAGGTGGAATTCAACTCGGGTAAAGCGCTTAATATAAATTTTAACTATTTAGTAATAGTATGATAACAGAAGGAAGAAGCAAATGTACTAATCCAGCACTATTCTTCATACACACATGATGGAAAGAGAGCATCTGATATTCAGATACTGCTTTACTTTGAAAAGTATGTTAAGACTTAGTGAATGTCAAGATTTTCATAAGGGTGACAGATACAGTGCAGCCAAAGCACCCTCAATTCTTACCATCCTTGTACTTCCACAGGCCTCATTAATTCAGTGTAAGAGTTAACTGTTAAATAGTTCATACCTTGGTTTTTCAGTGTAGGGATGATTAAATTGTATCCATTCATTTTTACTGATGCAGTAAGTCCAGGCATCACCTGATTGAACCAAAGAAAAAGCTATGAAGTATGTTTGTTCTGTCAATACGACACTGACATTTAAAGGGCACTGCTTTAGCAAGAAAGAATTAGGTCATGTTTCCTCCCTCCCTCCCTTAAATAAACATGTTGTAGCCCTTTAAATGCTCTAGGTCCTTTCTTTACTGGACAAAATGGGTTTGTGTCATAAGTGCAGTTACAGTAAAATTACCAGTGTATTGCAGGGACAAAATGGCTGGTCATGGTGATGCACACCACTAATCAATGAGGCAAAGAGGATGAGGCAGGAGGATCACGAGTTCAACCAGCCTGGTCTATACTTTTGTGCTAGTTGAGTGGCTCAAGTGATTGAGTTCAAACCCAAGTCCCACTAAAATACTTACAGCTATTATTTGTAGATGACATAGCACGTATAATACCAACTATGTATGACACATAATAATATATATGATTATGACACATATAAATACATATGTTTAAAGGACTCGCTTACTTAATGGCTGTTTATCAGTGGTAAATCCTCCAAAGAGAAAAAGATGATCTGAAGAAACTGGTGTTAGTGAGTGCCAGGATCGGCCAATGGGGCATGTGCCTTGCGGAATTCTGAAAATAATAACTAAGTTACAATATCAGTGCTTGACAGCAGAGAAGAACTGAAGTCTTCTTTTACAAATTATATGGAAAAAGGTTTCTTAGCATTAAGTAAGAATAAAGTACCTGCTTTATACTGACCTATTTTCTTAAAGGCAGAATCAAGACTTTTTTTCAACAAACATTTACCACAGGCTGTATCAAGCACATAGAAATAGAAATAAAATTTCTTAAGGACCCTATTGTAATCCTGTTTACTTAAATTCATAATTACAGAAAATTTTAAGCAAGTCTCATTATATAATAGGGAAGAAGAAAAATCTGAAAGTTTCTTAGAAAACTTTTCTAAGTAGTTATCTAAAGTGATACCTACAATTCATTCCACTCCCATGTATCCAGATTAAGAAAGTGAAGATCATTCATTCTGGCATCCTAAAAAAGGAATAAGTAAGTAGTTAAGCATTTTGAAGAAATGAAAAGAAAATCATCAAAACTGCTCATATACTCACTCGGTATCTCCCACCAAACACAAAGCCTTTGTTTCCAACAGTTGCACAGGCATGGGCAGCACGAGGTGAAGGTGCTTTACCCTATTAAAAAGTTAAATAAGTGAATCTTGTATAAAGAGGGAAAATACCACAGTCTTTACCAGATGGAGGATAAGAATATGCCAGGCTAAGGCTTTATTTAAAAGCTGAAGTGCAGACTATTGCAGAGAACAGCAATACTAAAAGCTGACTTTCAAAACTGAGAATTTAATATCTTTGAGAAGTGTTACTGAATGGGCTGGTTACTATAACAAAATTATTACCTTGTTTTTTAAAATAAAGACTGGCACATTATTTCTGTCACAGGGGAAAGAAATCTAATCTTTAACTTAAGTTCCAATATAAAACCAGATTATGTAATTATAAACAATTATAGCTACCACATGAGATTAGATGTTGAGTTAGTCTTCTTTAGTCATTAAACTTTTCTGAGTTCTAATTCCTTGGAGAATAATGAAAGCTATGAATTGCCTCACTCCAGAAAATAAGAATCAAGTATCAGTTTTATACCATCTCCCAAACTCTGGTGTATCCCCCTTTTCCTCTAAGTAGTCTGGCTTCATTATTCTCCAGTAACTCACAGTAGTTATAGGCTGGCTCCAGGTAAATGTTTCAGTGTCTAAAATATGTACGTGATCATTCCATCCTCTTGGATGACTTGAATTCTACAGAAAAGTAAGAGTGTGTTATTTTATAAATAATGTTTGTAAAATTATACAGCCCTCATCTGATTATTAACAAGTAAAATGAACAAAACTATCAGTGAATGTAAAATGGATTATTTCAACATACTATGTAGGAAAGTATGTAATTTCACTTACCCAAAAAGATGTTTCATCAAATTCAAAAGTTCCCAATACTTTATCTTCAGGTAAATATCCATACCCTCCAAAAAAAATCAACCTGTTTAATAAAGAACCAGACACTATAGATTCAAATATCCACAAGCTAGGATACAAGAATTTTTCTTATTTTGAAATATATAGTATGAATTGAAAAGGTACACATAAGTATATGAAAATATTTGTGCAAACAGTAATGACTAACATTTATATCTTAGGTGCTAAGTTAAATGCTTTCATGTATTACTTAATCTAAGGTGTATTTTATGCTTATAATGCTTCCTGACTAGGATACTTGAGTCCACATAAAAACCTAAACCTATAGTGCTTCTAACTTACTTGTTTTTATATACCCAGACACCAAGTTTGTCCTTTGATGATGGAGGAATTCCTTGGCAATCAATTCTTTCCCATTGTAATACTCTGTCTGTAGATCTTGAGTCCAGCATGTAGAACTGTCAGAAATAATTATTTCAGTTAGGTATGGTTATATAGAAGAAATTCAACTTTAGCCTTTATTTTTTACTGTGATTTATAATAATAAAGATATCATCTAATTCAGTGCTACTAAAATTATGACTGCAGACTGGCTGGCAGACTAGTTTTTACTCAAGATTATGAACTTGTGCCAGGAGCCACTGGTGGTTCACACCTATAATCCTAGCTACTTGAGCGGGTCACGGCTCAAGGCCAGCCCAGGCAGAATAGTTCTTGAGACCCCCATCTCCAAAATAACTAGATGAAAAAAAAAAAAAGACCAAAATGGACTAGGGATGTGGTTCAAGCAGTACAGTGTCCACTAGGCAAGAGCAAAGCCCTGAGTTTCAATCCAGTCCCATCAAAATAAAGAATTAGGAACTTGTAACAGAATGTAAATTTTAACCTATCAAAGGCTTGTGATATGTTGTGATATCTAGGTTGAAGAAGTGCAATATTAAAACAAAAGCCATGAGTCTTTTAAGCTCAGTGTGTAAAGACACGTTCTGAGTTATAACTAACGGGCACAACTGAGAAAAAGAGTAAATTGTCTATATCACTGAGAACACTCGACTGTCTTCTTCATAGCCACACTTTTATGACAAAGGAATTGGTAGTATGTTCGTTTTTATTCTGGCACAAGCCCCCTCTCTTGTTTTAGCCTTAGACAGGCACTTAAATTTTACTGATTTAATTTATGCATATCAGGACCACATTACCAAAAAGATTAGGTTTATCAACTTTACTTTCAAAGTCATTTAACAAACATATCTTCACTGCTTAGTTAATTCTAGGAGCTAAAAATCAGTCAATACATAAAAGATTAAATGCTGTTCCATCCTTACAACCACTCAGCCCTTGCCATTCGACATACTACTACTGTTTCTGTGACCACCCTCTACCAACCATAGCTTCTTTCCTCTCCTAGCTTCTTCAGGTTGTGGCAAGTTATTTTTTTCTTCCCCTTGGACTCAACTCCACCCTAAATCTTTCAGGCACAGAACCTTTTCTTCAGACACAATCTTAAGCAGAAGCCCAATGTAAAAAAACAAAAATATGGAGCTATGCTTGTTAAAATGGGGGAAGAAGGTGTGGTCTAGAACCCACATGCCACCATATGTTCCTCCTACAGGTATCCCAGAACATGACAAATCTCTAGAGTTTCTAGGAGCATAGTTTGAAACCATTTCAGCCATCTGTCCCATCTATAAAACCAACTGACACGTCCTTGAATAAAACATACTTGCTCATGTGTCAGTACTGTGACTACCCCTTTCTATTCAAGCTCACCACCTCATGGGCGAGTACTTTGCTTGTCTGATTCCCCCATCCTACCATACCTAACATCAAGGACTCTCAAAGTCATATTTACCTAGTTATTATCGTGTGCCAGGCTCTGTGTTATCTCAGTGAGATATAGTGCAGTCATTTACTTGCATATGTCCCTTCTAGAATGTGAGCTCTTGAGGGTAGAGACTATCATTCATCTCTGTTTCTCCAGTGTCCAACTGAATACTCAGCATATAAGGTACTTACTAAGTTGTCAAATGAACTGATAGGAGTCTACCTACGTCATGTATACCTTTCTGAAACTTCATCTGTCTCTCACTGGCCTGAAGAGGACAACTGACATCTTTTTTCCTATCTGGAAAAAAATACGGTCAAAATCTGAACAGCAGTGTCTTAGGGTACCATATTATAGGAATGTTACTATTTAAGATGTTTTCAGTGTTAATTCATCCTTATGGGTGAGTGGTGTTCCATTCATCTTTACCCTTCCCTCCATGATACATCTTGTCTTCATTTTGTCTGTAATGTTCTTTTTAAAAACTTCTTTACTAACATTCACCTAACACTCAGTTGCAGAGAGCAAAGAAAAACAACCTAGGAAGTTATTGCACATAGGTGCTAACAAAAGCTAATTTTACAAAAGGGCTAGGTGTAAATATAGGCTAATTGATAAAAGTACTAAAATGTGCATTCATACCATAATCAAGTGCATATATTTTTTTAACTGAACAGAAACAAATGTAAGCCTAACTTTAGAAATGAGGTTTTTTGAAAGAGAATGAGAATAAAATTACCTTGAACCATAATCCTTAGAAAATACTAACCTTATTCGTATTGCCTCTTGAATGGTGTCCTCCAAACAAGTACAGTACCCTGTCTACACACACAGCACAGCTTCCTGACATAGAAGGAGGAACATCACCTTCAGTGTTAATTTTTTTCCTGGGGGAGAGGGAGAAATTGGATGTATTTAAGACTCACAAAACATAAGAAATGCAAAAATTTATTAAATTTTCTTCTTACTTATATCTCCACAATAAAGAGGGAGAAAGGAGATAGTTGACGATGTGGAGGGCCTCTTGTAGCTCTAATATCATCTTCCCATTCCACAGTCAATACCAGCTGGTCCTACACATAATGAGAGGTCTTGAAAGCTGAAGTGTCATATAGTCTAGGACCATGTTATGTTTCTTAAACTAAACTCTTTGCTTTTTATTTAGTTGGCCTTAAGGGGCTGTGCTGAGTAGGCTAGGAACCCAAAGGAAAACTTCAACATGCCCAGTCTTGACAAAAGTTAATAGTTGATCAACTCAAGTCACCTTTTAGCCATTTGAATGAATCTGATCCAAACCTCTATGTAATACTACAGACATTTTAGGTGGTGCTTGTTTATATACTGTGTGCCAGGCACTTCTGAGTGCTTCATATGCATCAAGTCAATCTAATTTTAAAAAGCCAAAGAAATTAAAGACTTACAGTATCTCCAGTATATTCAAGGTCTTCTGCTTACACTGTCTGATACAATTATCACTTTATCTTTGCTAAGCTTGAAGTTTGGTAAGCTTATTTTTAAGAAATATGGTTGGTGGTGTGGTTCAAGTGGTAGAGGGCCTGCCTAGCACTGCAAAGCCCTGAGTTCAAATCCCAGTACCACCCAACAGATCCTTTTAGTTAGGCACTGATGGTCCAGACCTACAATCCTTGCTATCTATGAGCCCAAGGATGAATGCCAACCTGTGCAAAAGAAAGTTCATGAGACCCCATCTCAATGGAAAAGTTAGACATGGTGGCATGAACCTGTCATACCAACTACAGTGAGAAGCATAACATAGGCAGACTGAGGTCCAGTTCTCTAGAAACAGATTAGCAAATAGCTCATATTAACACTGATTTTCTATTTATAGAAATAGTTCTAACACTAATAACATGTTTTTGACTACCACTGTTGTGAGACTGGTAAAAGGTCCTTTCACATTATCCCCAGTTATATAAAAGACAAATTTAAGTTCATCTTGGTTTTTAAACAGAGAATTCTATATTTATTTATTTTGCAGTATTGTGGATTGAATCCAGGGCCTAGACAAGCAGTGAGCCTCATCTCAGAACATATATTTTAAAGAGATTTGTGTAGAAATTTTGAACAGATAAAATTCTGCATCATTAAAATCTAGCAACTCTAACAAACTAAAATCTCCTTATAATAGAAATTTCTTCTAAGTTCATAAAAGTAGTAATTACTGAACTGCTTCTGAAGAGATATTAAACAAAACAAAAAAGTAGATGATTAGCTGCTAAGCAAACCAGAACATTGTTTTCAGAACACATAAGATGGTTTAGCATCCTTAATTACAGTATTTTTATCCATCAGAATGAGTTTTCAACTTTTTTCCTTTTGCTTTACAACCTTATCTGAAATTTTTAGTGTCTCCCACCACCCATAATATCCAGTTACCATCTTCCAGTCTCCATGTTGTAGATCCATAGCTCTTCTCTAGGCAGATAAAAGTCATATAATCCTCTCACTTGATTACTCTAAGAAGAATCAGAAAAATTGTAAATATAAATACCTGATACTTTAAAAAGGCATTGTATATTTTTCGTATCTTTCTTGTTTGAGGCACTAATTAAGAAATTAGGAAATATAAAAGTCTTGTATGCTTAAATTTAGTCTTCCTGGTCCCATGCCACATTCTCAAGGTAAAGCTTAATCTACATAGTCCTTCCGTAATCCAAACTTTTGATACAGCAAAGTCATCAAGACTCTTGGTGAATCTAAGCCCACTATTTCCTGAACAGACCAAGGATCAAATTTCAGTTGCATGATTTCAGGAGAGATTATCTGTGCCAAGACCAGCAGACTACTGAGAGTGGATGACCCATGCTAACATAATTTCTAGCCAAGCTTTCCTTTCACTTATTCATTCCCAGACCAGAAGCAGAGGGCAGGACTGCAAATATAAGTCTTCGTGCAAAACTACAAGTTCCCTGTTCTACTCCATTTGCACTCAGGTGTTACCTTCTAATAAGGACTGGTTTACTATATACCAGAACTGAATGTTGTCCACTAATTGCTTTATTTAATCCTCACAACAAAAAGTATAGATGGGAAAACAGATTTTTAGAGAAGCTAAGTCATTTGCTTGAGGCTCCTTAGCAAGCAGTGATGGAACCAGAACTCTTCCTCTCCCTGAACCTTGACAACTACCTGATATTTTCAGCCTTTGTTCCTCCCTGGCCACTTTCTGAACAATGTCAACACAGTAAACAACCGCAGCTCACTGAAAACAAGTATCAGAGTCCAGTAAGCTAAGTATTAAACATACAGCAATAGAGTAGCTAACCACGTAAATTTTCTTTCTACTCTACCACTGATGAAGTGGTAGGAAAAGGGAAGAGGGGCAGGGAAAACAGTGGGCTAACCTGGAATAGATCAGTATGGTTTGGGGAAGAAAACCACCACAAAAGAAGCAAAAGCTTACTGCCTTTGAAACAATCTCCAAGAGCTTCCTGTGCCCACTCCCAGGGTTTCAGCCAAAAATGAGAAAGACAACCCATTTTGGAGCTACTCACTTCATTAAGTGAAGTGGCTCAGCCATCCAGGACCTCAAAAACCTACCAGCAGAAATCTTCCACCACCAACGAAAAGGACCATTCCCTCAATGCTGACTTTTACAAATAGAAGAATGAATATGCTTCAGCCTGAACTGTGATTGTCTAACGGGTTTGCCTTCCACCAAGAGATTTACATTGCAGTAATGGGCACTGCATACCTACTCCCTCGACATCCAAGTACCCTCTAAAAGCCTATTCACTGGAGGTTGGGGAAAACATGGCAGATTAATTCCGACTGGGAAAACAAACCCCCGCCCCCCAACATTTATAGATAAGACAAATGAAGGTATTGACAGTTACCTCAAAAGTGGCCAGCTATGATCAAGGTCAACTAGGCCATAAGCCAAATTGTTACTACAGTCACAAAGTAAGTCAAAAAGGGAATAAAGCGTTTTATAGTAAGAATGGATCAGGGCCACTCCAGCAAATGGAATTCTACAATGCAGAATATATTGGGAAATTCTAAAAGCACGGGGCAAAACAGAAAGCACGGTTTTACATAGGACACCTGGGCAGAATCCCCTGGTAAGGATACAGAGAAATAGTGCAACTGACCAAACTGGCCACATTGTATATAATAAGGAGTTAAAAGACTGCATTCACTACAAATGTTGCTGGGGATACTGGTTACCATTTTCTTAACATGTATTTCTTCTGAAGGACTTCAGTCCTTTCTCAGCTGAAACCATAAGGAAATTGGCCCTGCATTCAAATAATGGTGTGGTGGCCATCAGGCACAGGTACAGCTGGTCCTGATGCTGGCGGGAAGGTTGGATAAGGCGATTTTCGTGTCTTGCGGGATTCCAGGGGTTGTTTCCTGCATCACGGACACACCATAGTGGGCAGTGGGATGTACAAGCGACTGGCTCCAGCTGGGTAGTACTGACAAAGGGTCTGCGTGGTCCTGCCCTCCGTCGCCTTACACACACCCCATCCTTTAAAATAACGCGAGGCACTCGCGCGCCACGCACCCCATACTAACGGGGTCTGCCCCAGAATAACGCTCCAGTGGCGCCGAGGTGGGGTGCGGCGAGCGGGCTTCGTAAGCCTGAGGCTGGCGTGACAGCAGCCTTGGAGCCTTGACATGGCCGGAAAAAGAGCCAACCGGCATCACGCGCGGGCAGCCCTGCGCGGCCGGCCCACTGGCCAGACCGGGCCCGGCCAAGCGACAACCAACGGCCCGGACCCCACTGACCTTGTAGCCGCCCCAGACGAACATGTGGCGCCCGTCGCTGACGGCTACGTGGCCGCTGCGCTCGGCGGGACAGGCGAGCTCCATGGCCTCATAGCTCTCGAAGGCTGGCCCTGGCAGGTCGTCCGCCCGCAGATCCTCGTTGCCATCAGCCATCTTGAGGCCGCACTTTGTGCACCAAGATGCCTACAACCCGGGAGGCGGGGGGACAAAGACAAGGGGGAAAAATATGGGACAGCAGCACAGGCCGGGAGAAGGCGGCAGTCAGGCCTCGGCAGCCCGCGCCGCGCCACCAGCGGCGGTCCGCTGCCGGGTGGCGCCTGCGGGTCGCGGGTCGGGGCCCGGGGCGGAGGGACCTGGGACCGCAGCTGGGCAAAAGGGTGGCCAAGTCTGCGGCTCACACTCGCGGCCCGCTCGCCCCGCCTCCAGCGGCTCAGGGCTCTTGTTTACGCCGCGGCCGGAAGCCGCCCGTTCCGCTGACACCGCCCGCCGGGCTCCGGAAGCGCGGCCGGCGCTCAGCGCCCCCAGCGCTGGGTCCTCCCGCCGATCCTCCCGCCGATCCTCCCGCCGCCGCGGCCGCGGCCTCGGCCTCGGCCTCGGCCTGGGCGGTGACGCCCGGCGTGAGGGGCGTGAGGGGCGCGGCGGGCGCCGGGCGGGCCCGGGCGACTTTCCCTGAGCGCCCCGGGAGGCCATGCTTACGGTGTTGCTCTTCCCAGTTCCGGGAGTTCTGAGGGCAGCTGCGAGTCCGCGGCCAGGAGACCGGGCCGAATCGCTCGCTAGTAAGTTTGCGGCCTCCGCTTCCCCGGGACAGAACCACCCGCTCCCGCTGTGCAGGTTGATGAGACGTCAGAAACCGCCACCGCCCGGCTCACACACTCTGGTCGTGAATCGTGCAGTCATTCCTATTAGGACAAAAGAAAATCGCCGATTATTATCCACGCGCGGGTCCTCGCCTGTAAAGCAGGAAATTCCTAATGTACAGGTGTGTCTGCAGTTGGCTGCGTTGGGGAGGAGGGGAGGGGCGCTTCGGTATCCCTGCTTTTCCCCATCCCCACCCCTCAGAAGAGCCATACATTGAACAGAAAAAACGCTGTCGTTCCGAAACTTTGTTAGCGGAGCTCGTGCAGTCTGTGATCAGAAGATCCTGGTTTCTGTGCTCCAAATAGAAGAACCCAAGCAGAGCACGTGGATGGGGTGAGGTAGGATAGCTTTATTGAGAAAAAGGATCACCCGTTCTGCCAGGTGAGGAAAGGGAAGAAGAAGCAGAGGGTAAGGTGGGTACAGGTGGAGTCCGTCGGCAGAAAGAGCTTGCTTTTCTTTTTCGGGTGCCTTTAAAACCTACACTACCCCATGGAGGGCAGGCCCAGGAGGTTCCCACCCAATGATGAAGGAGTGGAGAGGGACACGGGCGGTTTCCAACCAGGTGACGGTGGCCTAGCCCATCTCCAGGGCAACCTACATGAGCCCCAAACTTTCCTACTTCTGGCCTGCCTCACTTGCATAGCCTCAAACGCCTCTCGCTGCTGTGTGTGCAGGAGTTCCCAGAGTAATTAAGACGATTAGTTGAAAGCCTCCAGCAAGGAAACAAGTCACCTGGCAGCAGTGCAGCGGGTGCCCTGCACGGCCACCTCTCCTGTTGTAATGCATTCATGCTCAAGTAGAACCTGGGGTTTCGTTCATTGTGAACCGATTATGTACGGATTTCACCACGTCACGTCGCTTAAAAACCCTTGGGCTGGTTCTCAAAGTCCAAAATTCCTGTCACAACGTAGTGTGACATGGCCTGGCCCCAGCTTATCTTTTTCCGCTGCAATCCCTGGCTGCATTAGCATCCTTTCAACTCTTCAAACACATCTGTTTCTAGCAGCTAAAAATGTCATAACATCTTTCCTGTCCCCATTCCTAGAAGCCTAACACTGAGTCATCTCTCAGTTTCAGAGAAACCCTTTTGGACTTCCCCAGGCCACTTTTAGTTTCCCTGTCACACACGTGGCATCTTCGGTTCTTCTCCATAGCACCCTTAGGAAAAGGGTCCCTAAGACCACGTGTAAGTTCTTGTGTCTGGTGTTGGTTTCTCCTGCTAGATTTAATTTTTTTAGTTTACTTATTTTGCCCGATATTGCTAGGCAGGCGATTCTGCCAGCTCCTACTTCAGGGAAGCCTTGCTTCAGGCTGCAAAACTACCTCCTTTCACAAGGATAGATGTTTGTTTTTCCCCTGGATAAAGCTAATTAGCTAACAAATAAGTTACCAAGTAGTGTTATCGAGCCTTATTTGAGAACTAGTTAATGTTTATCTTGAGAACATGTATATTAGGCAACTTCTGCTTGGCTATATGAAAGGGTGACATTTTGCAATGTCTCAATAGATTGCCTGTGATGGACAGCACATTCAGGTTTAAAGTTTATACAACAAATAATACTGTTGCCATTCTCTTCTGCCTTTGTGGAGAGGCTTTCTGGGTTGGGAGATTTGTTTTCTTAATTCTGCTTTCCTAACACAGCCATTCAAAAAGTATTTGTCACTGTGGGTTTGAGTGGGTTGCCATGGTAATGAGAGACGTGGAGTCAGCGGTAAACAGGAATTTTTTCTAATATTTATAAAATATTTATAAATTTTCTAAAATTTATGAAAGG